GGCGACGGAGCAGAAAGAGTACCGTCGATGAAGCCGCCCTTGTTCTTGACGCTCAAAGCCATGACCACCGCGCGGGACCAGGAGACGTAATTTTCTCCGTTGAACAACTCAGCGACGATCAAGGCTCCAGGATTGTCACTAGCGTGCAAGAAATAGGGAGATGTAGGATCCTCCGAAGGATTCATAGTGAGTGCCATAGATCGCGAAATCAAAACAGATCGATATGCAGATCGATAGAGAGAGAAAAAAAAAACAGATCGCCTCGAAGATCAAGACGATGTAACAAGATCAATCAGCGGAAGAACGAAATCAAAAACGGATCGATAATCCGGCGAATGATACCATATTGAACTTAGGGTTTGATAAACCAGAGAGAGAAAGAGAAAGAGACTTGTATTGAACGTAGAAATCTGAGAATAAAAGTGAAGTGCTACAGTAGGGAAGTCATATTTATACTGTTGCTAAATGAACTAAAAGTGCTAAAAGATAAAATAACAACTAATACAAGGTTATCAAATAGCAACTAATACACATCATCTAATATTTCTTAAGCATAATAATCCTTTAAAAAAAAAAGAAAAAAAAAATGAATATATTCTTCAATCATACTATAAAGATTTTGCTAGTATTTGCAAGAAGAAAAACAAACAAAAAATCCTTGAATTCTGGATAAGCTGTAAGCATATATACACATGATGCTCCCAGAGAATGAAATCATTGAAAATTTCAATCAAAACGATCATGTTCTCCCGGAATAATTCCACATACGGTAGCTATCAGTTGTGTTGAGTTGTTTCAGAGGCCAACCATGAGCATAAGCACCCAAAAACCAAAAGAATCAACAACCTTCCCCCAAAGTATCCTAACAATACAATAGATGACTTGCTGATACATAAAAAAAGGACACTTCTTACAACAGAACTTTCCACCTGGCGACTTGCCAAAAAGGACCTCGTAAAAAACTCATTATCTGTGGTAAAACATGCTCACATGGTTCAGATGGTCATAAATTCCATATCCAGATAAATGACCCGGTGTTAACACACTCGGTTTCCCACAGTTTGGTAGAGGGATTTAAGTTGTGTGTTCCATTTGTCTATCGCCGTGTACTTTTTCATTCCCTTTGACCTGCACGCATATTCTCCCAAGTTAGATGCGTATGCTACGAAGAAAAAAAGGAGAGACTATTTTTTTCATTGGAAAAAGACGTAAATGGCTGGAAATATTAATTTAAAGCATGTTGAAATTGGCAAGTCAAACCTGTCTCCGCGTTCCAAAAGCCGATTAACTTGATCAATGTGCCCATCTATCCTATTGTCCAATATAAGTGACACCAGTAACTCCTCAACATCCTTCTCTGGCACATTAAGCTCCTGTGTGTCACATGTCAATAAAATATATTATATAACGGATCCTTATGAAATACGCAAGTAAGTCGGTCAAGCCAAAATTTATATTAGCTTTCAATTCCTATTCTTATTTTATTTTTTTATTTTTTTTGCCATTTCTTGGGCGGTGTCTTTCTTTATAATGTGTGTATGCCCTATGTCAGAGAGATGCAAATTACCATCATGGAAAACCACAACCTTCACTATTACTTTTCAAAGCACAAACAGTTTTTTTTTTCTTTTTTTTTTCTCCTTATTAACATATCGGGGAAGAGGGAAACAGAAGAAGTTCCCTGCTGCATATGAAACTCTGGTTTTCACCTTGGATATGAAGGGGATTCGAATTCTCGTGTAAGGCTTGATGAGCTTGAGCAACACTTGTGTTCTCACATTCTTCAGAAGATCTTCAATATAGTTTCGAATAAACGGATCTTCCATTATAGTCCTCCTGTTACTCTGCCACATAAATCACCACATATACTTCAGAATAAACTGGAAAATGAATTTCTTGACATGGCATGTCAAGAATGGGTACCTTAAGTATTTTCTCAAATTCCAAAATCTCATTCCTCTGATAAGCAGCAATCAGGTTTGTCATTGCTAGAATCTCAGGATCATTTTTGTACCTATGATGCAAACAAGAGCATTGAGGCAAAATCCACACTCAAATAATTAAAAAAAAAATAATGTTCAGATTCATTAATCAACTTACGGCTTTGCTTCTTGACCATCAAACGGGTTGACCTCGGATTCCATCAGCATATTTGCCAACACCAAATATCTGACACATAAGCCCCACTCAATGAGTTCACCATGGCAGCATATACAAAAACTATCAGTCTATACACCAATATTTATGCATGCCACAGTTCCTCAACATCAGAGTGAATGAGGGCGCTCAATATCTGTATATCTCATTCAGTTTTAAACAAAATCCACTCTATACATAACATAATCAGAAAAGCAACTGAGGCACATTATTTATTCAGGTTCCGACAAAACATCAATCTAGCTCCAAGAACAAATAAACACTATGCACAAATGCATATCCAATTTAAGATGAATGCAGTAAAAGGCCAATGCATATAATCAGAAAAGCAAGATGCAAGTGTTATTCCTCCCCAATCAATCCAAATAAGTGTAATGAATTAAAGTGAATACTTTAAGCACTGAATGCGCCTCTGATTCCCAGCTTCATCATAGTTCTTGAAAGCTTCAAAGAAATCTGTAGCCGCCTCCGCCCACTGCCGCTCAGCCATATGCATTTTTCCACCACACTCACGAATTATCCCCATGATTCTCGGATGAGGTATAGCAGATTTCACCGTCAGTGCCTTTTGATATAGTTCCTGCAAAAATTAGCACCAAGTAACCTGAGTGGATGCTTAATATTGAGATATCACAAAATAAAATATTTATATCGGTGGAGCAAGTTGCTTTCAGAAAGTGAAAAGCAATTACTCAAACCTACCTTCAGCTTTTTGTTGTTTTTAGTCTCAGTGTACATTTGGATCTCAATAGCATAGACTTCCAGCAATTGTGTACCTTTCTTCTGATCGTCAGAACCATCTTCTTTTTGACAAGATTTGTGAAGCTCCTTCAGAATCTGTTCAGGTATAATGAATAAAGCTCATATCAACTTCTAAATACTCACATGGTTTTTAAAGCAATACTTTTCTGACAAAATCTACTTACTGATACGTATTTATAACAATACCTTACTCATCCGTCCATATTCCCCAATGTCAAACCATATTTTGCACAACTTCAGATTTGTTTTAAACCATAGTCTCTGCAGAAAGGAGGGTTGGTGAAAGTTAATCACAAACAAAAAGAGGTGGTGGTTGTGGTGGTAGCAATGATGATGATGAAACACTGGAATTCAAATGAAACAGATGTTTTACCTCATTCTTTGCCTCTTCAAGGGCCTTCAATGTCGTCTGATAGAACTCTTGTAGAAGGCTAAAGTTTTGGCCAGCAGACCCAGAAATGAAATCCATGATATTATTTATGCATTTCTCGCTGTAATTTCTAGTCACTGCAGATTTAATATAAGTCAACATGTCTCTGTAAGCATCCATCATTTCTTTGTATTTCCCAAGCTTATAGTAAAGCTTAACTGTCTGTTTTAAAGCTTTAAATCCCCTGGAGGAAAGAAAGAAGCATGTTAACCATTTATGTGCACAATATATCAAAGCACAAGTCATGTATAAAAAGGACAATAGCTTAATAAGCAAGAACGGAGAACCTGATTACAGCTTATAATTTTTTGCAACATTATGTTTCCTGATCGACCAGTAACCTATAACTTTTAACATTCCTCAGACAGAAGGAATAATAATAGCTTTAGAGACAATATAGGGTATAATAATGAAGTTCACTCAGACCCAAAGTCTCCGCAATGCATATATTTATTGGATTTACTTAACTGTAGAGAGCCGATTCGGTGATCCAGATAATCAAATGCACATTTAGATGGAAATAGTGACAGTTGAAAAAACAAGTAAATTATAGAATATAGACAAGTAAACAGAGAGCAATGACAGAAGGAAGTTCCTGATCATTGTCGTCCTATTAAGAAAACCGCAATACAGTACCAACTAATAATATCATACTAAGCTCATAAAATCGATAAAAGTTACAATTCAGCCTTCAATACAGCACCAACTAATAATGTCATAGTGAGCTCATAAAATCGATAATCTATAAAAGTTACCATTCAGCTTTTTCGGGTTCCATACGAACCACCTCTCCAAAACCTTCGAGTGCTGCTTCCGGGTCCGTCTCAACCAAGCCTAAAGAAAAGCAGCACTACTGTCACAACTTAGGCTACAGAAAAATGTCAAAAGGCAACAAAATTTCTCAAGCCTTTTTTATTAGAACCCTTCGAACTATCAATTTTCTATCTCAGATAAGCTTAATCAGTTTACCATAACACTTCACACCATTAACTTCTGTCTTCAAATAGTTGTATGAGCGCAGGAACACAGTTCAATTATTAAATATAAACTTCACTAACAAGCAGGGCTGCTTGCTTACCAGCTCTATAATAAGTTCATAATCAACTACATAAAATAATAATCACATTTATATAATATATCAAACGACGCATCGCTACGGAAACAGCCTCCTTGTATAATTACAGGGGTAAGGTCTGCGTACAACTGGCCCCCAGACCCCAACCAGTTGGGAATATATTGGGTATGTTGCTGTTGTTGTTGTTGTTGTTGTTATATAATATTGTTCGTCAAAGAGCTTTTCAGACAGCCACAAAAAGAGGAAAAACGAAAATGTTGCAGTCAGACAAATAATCGCACCTTTAGAGTTGTAGTATTGATTCTCAATATCAACGTCCTGTTCCTCAGGCTCCTCGTCCGAGTACTCAAAACCATAATCCTCCATATCAGCATCTTCACAACATCGTAGGGCAAAAAGATTAACACGTTGCACAATTGGGCAAAAATAGGGGAAGGAAGAGGAAAATAACATCAACTGAAACAGCAAAAAAGGATCAGCATTTGCAGTGGAGAGATGGAATTACCGGAACCCATGGCTGGTTTTCGCACTTCACAAAAACTCGAGATTTCGTGCAGGAGAGACCGATAGTGATTGAAGTGTGGGTTAAAAGAACTCGCTGTTCTAATTTAAAATTATGAACTTCCTTTGGCCGTGTGATGAAATAGCAATGCTCAATTCATACTTTAAACCTACTCCAATATTATCAATACTAGTACTCAGTGCGATGCACGGAGATATTATGACTTGTGAGCTTTATAGAAGTCAATTTTGTATGGAAATTGTGTAATAACGCAATGATCATGATCTTAAGAATAGACATATAAACATATAATTAAACTAAAAAGATCATATATTATTGAACACTTCCCTATATACAACGTTATTAGTTTGATTATTTGGCACGTCATCTTCGCCACAAATTAAGATTTTCAAACCTTTTCGGTTAGTGACACGGGACACAGCAACATATAATTGGTCATGACTGAATACCGGTTTCTTAAGAAATAAATAAGTCAACATGAGATAAGGATTGTTCTTGACTCTTGTTTATAGTCATGGTGTAAGAAACCATAATGAGAAACTGTCGCCGCTGGAACTTGAAAGGAATTCTAACATCAGAAGGAGTTACGACCGTTCTTGGAATCAACACCTTATCACCAGCATGATCTCCTGTGAGTATCTTATACTCAAGAACATGAGTGGATATGGTTTTGTCACAACCAATCGTGTCCCACTACACAAACCCATAGAATGATCCATGTTCCGTAACAACATGACTGGAGTTCCAATCTTCAAATACAACTCATGGTTCGGTATCCGGAACACTTGATACTATTCAAAAACTCAGGCGTATGGAGATCAGACAAAAAATCATTATTAGAATCCAATTTGTACGTACTATCAGCGCTCAAGTACATACGACCATCCAAGAAATTCAATGATGTCATGTACTCATTGATAGACTTGACCACATCCAACGTCGGAGCTAATATAGCACTATCCTTCAAATAACTTGGATCGTCATGCGCCTCCTTATACATTGGGTATGTGCTTTCAACGATTTGAGCAATGGAATCATCAGATGGCTGAAGCAATCATCCTTACAACAGATTGTCATCAGCAATCATCCTTACAATAGAAAATGCTGCTTCTGCTCCCTTGAAATTCTTGTTGCCTTTGATAGCAGCAAGAATCTGCTGATGCCAAACCAAGTAGTTGGTTTCATTGAGTTTTGAAGAAATAAGTTGGCTCTGGGGAAAAAACAAGTTGGTTTTGTTCTGGATTTGCTAATGAAGAAGATGAAGAAGCCATTGTGAAAACAAATGTAAAGAATAAAGGGAAATAAATGAAGGTACAAAGCAACCAGGATCATTCTGGTGCTCTGATACCATAAAAGAATTGTAGTTCAAACATGATAATATTGCTTTGATCTAAGAATCGAAATCAGAATTTTTATCTTTCTCACTTGAGTTTTCACTTACATCAAAACGCATACATAATGAAGATAAAGAAAGGTTATTTATACAACAAAAACTAATTGGCAGTTAAGTGAAATGCATGTTCCTCTCCATTATCTTCATGCATGTTGTCATGCAGCACATCCATATCGTGTGTAACTTCCCTTAGATCATGCTGAGGTGGTTTGGATGTCTTGGACCTCATCCCAATGTTGACATTGTAGCTGACATGTATTGGTTGACTTCTTTTACTTATGAAGTCCAGAGATGGAGAGGTCGGCCGAGGTGTGATTGACTGCTACTGAGGTTGGCTAATTTCGGCAAAATTCAGTAATTTTCTCTTTCATACCTCGGTAATCCTCCAGAATAAGTGGTCGACTCCTTGAAGGTGTCGAGAACAGTGGTCGGCTCGACGTCTGGGGTTGCCGTTGAAGAGGTCGGTGATAACGGTGTCGGCCCTAGCTGCTGTATGGAGCCCGAGCGGTGATTTGGAGGTCAGTATTGTGTACAAATTATTCTTTTTACCGGGTACCGAATCAAAAGATTCGTTTCCCGGGTCGATCTCACGAGGAAGGCGGTTCGGAATTCAGCTTTGGTATCGATTACACATAAAAGAAAATAAAATCCTAAACATGCTAATCAGATAAAGGGTTTGAATAACTATCTACTACGAAATAATCAAAAGCATGAATATACCTAAAAAGATAAACGAAATAAAGATGGAGAAGCTAGGGAGTCGGGGATAATTGCTTTCGGTTCTAACACAACTACCGACAATCAATTGCTCGGTTAAAGGACTTGAATCGTTTCTCGTCCAGAGTTTCACTCTCAATAACTCTTCGCAACAAGAGAGTGAACGTACACGATCAACTATCAATTCCAACAACTCATAGACAATACTTTTACGAACAAGTCTACCCTAAACGATCCTAAGTCGACAAACGTCTCTCCTCTCGGTTCTACACATTTATTGATTAGGTTAGAAAGGTGATCAATCTACTAACCCTAAATTAAGCACAACTCGAGTAGGCAAGAGAAATCAAGAACAAGCAATTATTAATCGAACCTAATCAATCATCTCTTTATCCCTAGCAAAAGAATCAGCTATGTAACATAAATTCAACTCAATAAATCAATTCTCTCAATTCAATTATTATTCATGAATTCAAAAGAAGAGAAGAGAAACTTACAATAAATCCCAATTTCAC